CATCCAGGAGGATTGTTAGGGTTCGTTCACATGGTGGTGGTTAAAAGGTTCCTAAGAGCAGCAAGAGAGAGGACAAGCTCCAGTGTACTGGCACTTTTCAAGCCTCTGCTTGCATCACCTTTGTTAATATTGCATTGGCCAAAGCAAGTCACATGGCCAAGCCCAGATTCAAGGAGTGGAGAATTAGCTCCATTTCTTGATGAAAGGAATCAAGTCATAGAGAGGTATGGATATAGGAAGGGGAAGGATTTGCAACGATTTTTGCAGTCTGCATGCTTACAGGCATCCATTCCCTTTTTTACTATATAAAGCATTCCAGTGTTCATTTGGGACATCCACTCTGACACACAAACTCAGACCTAGACAATCTGAGGCACGGTGATTGGTTCAAGGGTGGACATGTGACTCAATTCTGGCCAATGAGATTCAGCTCTGGTACTTTTGCTGGGGGCTATTGGAATGAAGTGCTTTCTTTCTGCTGAGGCAATAGGGCTAGTAGAATGAAGGCCTAGATATCTTGAAGGCCATGTTTTAGCACTGAGCCAGCCCTAAGGAAAGCAGATATAAGGCATTAAGAAAGAGAGATTGAAAGGAAGAAAAAGGGACCAATTGTATGACACCTGGATCAAGCCAGACCTGAATATCTCTACTCCTGGACTTTTCAGTTATTTGAGCTAATACATTTCCTTTTTGTTTAGGCCATTTTGAATTGGCTTTCTAACTCAACGCTTATAACCAAAAGAATCTTGACTAATACAACTCCCTCCCTTAAAATTTCTTCCTCTCTGATCGCAAAGTTTTTCCCATCTGTAAACTTTGATTTGGATGGATATTCTTTGTCTAGTTTACTGTTTGTCACCCCATATAGTTGAAAGCACCAATGGGAGAGGTTGGGACCCCTTCCAAGAAAAGGCTGTGATGATAGGCATATAATCAGTCTTAGGAAGAAGCTCCCAGAGGTGGTGATCTAACAGGCAGGTAGAACAGGTAATAAACACAGTCTGTCATTGTAAACTAGGCTTTGCTGGCCCTGAGGCTGGGACTCCAAGGTAGAGGGACTGGTGAGAACAAGGCAGAGTCCACACTTAAGAGGAATTAGGATGGGGCCTGGAGTAGGGACAAAGCAAGGCCTTACTGTGGAGTCCACAAGAAGCATGGGGCCCATAGCACTCCACTTCTTCCTGACTGCTGTCAACCTGGTCCAGTCCATTGTCACTGCCCCCTGATTGGTACTTGTACTTTTTCTGCGCTAAAATCCTTTCTTCAACCAGCAGCTAAAATAACATTTTGATACTGTAAGTCAGGTCATCTCATCTCCCTGCCTGAAACCCTCCTCTTGTGTTTATAGCAACATAATAACAATGACAACTGACACTTACACTGTGCTTGTTAGGTGCCAGGCACTGTTCTAGGCACTTTACTTACAATAACTCATCTAATTCTCACAACATCCTTGTAAAGACAAACACTATTATTATCATCTCCATTTTACAGATGAGAAAACTGAGGCACAGAGAGGTTCAATAACTTGTCAGCATTAACATGGATTAAAATCCAAACTCTTCATCATGACCTGGAACTCTGTACCCTCAGGTCTTTGCATGGCTGCCTCTATCTTATCAATTGAGACTTAGTACAAATGTCACCTTCTCAGGGAGGACTTCCCAGATCATTCAATTTATAATGTCTCCCCACTCTCTATTACATTATCCTCTTTTGTTTTCACATCACTTACCATTTTATTAAATTATTTTTTCACTTTCTTACATACTGACCTGTTTCTATACTAGCCCCAGGATGTCAGCTCCTTGAGAACAGGGACTAAGACTCTTGTTCACCATTGTATTCCAACACCTGGCATAGATAGATAGCAGGTCACTAAACATTTGTTAAAATGGAGGGAGGAGCAGAGGAAGGGAGGAAGGGAGAAAGGAAGGGATAAGGCCTGAACCTCCCTCTCATGACTAAAATGAGTGTGGGTCCTCCAGAAAGAAAAAATGGAGGACAGAGAGGAAGAGAGACCCTGGAAAGGAACTTGAGGTCCTGGAATTCCTCAAGGTGCATCCAGGCCAGGCCCCACACTCAGCTGGGAGAATGTTTACCTGATTAGAATTGTCAGATTTGGGAAATAAAACTGCAAGATGTTCAGTTAAATTTGAATTTGGAATAAACAGTGAATAATTTTTAATATGGTATATGCAATATTTGGGCTATACCTATATTAAAAAATTGCTATTTATCCGAAATTCAAATTTCCTGGGCATCCCGTATTTTACCTCGTGGCTCTATCCCAGGTCTTCACTTTGTGCTAAGTGCCACTGAAGATTCCACTGAGTACTAGCCTGCTTTTTTTGTATGGAACATTTTGTCTTTAACCCTTGAATAAGGAAGAACAAATCTTTTTATTGATCTAACAGAAGGAGAATATCCATGGAAACAGCAGCTTATTCAAGGAAATTGGCTCCCGGGGGTGGATAAATACCACAGGAAAGGCAAGACAGATAGATGCCTTGTCCTGACTCAAGGTGGGCCTTCAAACCTGCGTATACTCTGTGACTTTGCTTCCCGGGCTCAGAGGTGGGTTTGAGTGGGTGCTGTTGAAGAGAGCAGGAAAAGAATCGCTCAACTTGAGAGGAAAAGATTCATGAAATGTGGGCTTATTCTGATGATCCATTCATTCAGTCTCACTGAGCAACTGGTGGCAGGAACTCAGAGACCACTAGCAATGAGTGCTGCCTAGAGGCTCTTCAGACTCGAGGCGATGTATCTGGACCCCAGGACCAACAAGTGATGCCTACTTCCAAATATGTCTTCATAGTCGAATGGGAAGAGTGTATTTCTGTCTCTGTTCTCTCTCTCTCCTTCATTCCCCATTTTTTTTCCCTTCTTTTCTCATCTCCTATCTCTTGTCTCACCTTCCAGCCATTTGTCATCTTAAACCTTATCACCAACTTGTACCATGAAGGAACAATTACTCAGATGGTGTACTCAGATGGGGAAACTGGTCTTCCTCTCAATTCTTTTTTCTCTCTAAGCCTACCCACTCTCCCTGCATCCAAATCCAGGTAGGCAATTCCTTTTAACTCAGCTCGGAGTTCATTTGCATGCCCTTCTCTGATTGGCGGATACAAACCTATTGCAGCCTCCACCCTTCCCTGCCCCTCCACACCTTCCTTTTGAAGCCCCACTAGGTCCAGCATTCTGGGATCCTCGGACCTCTGCCCTGTGGCTTTGTCTGCTCAATTATTCCTTAATAAAGTGTCAATGGGTGATCCCTTTTGGTTTGGGATTAAAAGACCAACGCTCAAGGCTGGATTTTACCACTGACAAGCTGGGTGATCTTGAATGAATTCCTTTGCTTCTCTGAAACTCAGTTTCCACATCTATGATATGGAAATAATTCTCATGATGAGGTCCTTATGGGGATATTCTGTAGTGGTTAATATAGACTCTTAAGCCAGACTGCCCAAGTTCAAATACTTCCTCTTTCACTTACCAGCAGTGTGCCCCAAGCAAGCTTCCTAGGTACTTTCTTTTTCTCATTTGGTTAGAGTGAGTCTGAAAGAAGCCAATATGTATAAAAACACCTACAAAAGTGCTTTGCATACATGCGCCTAATAAATGTCAATATTATTGTAATGGATATTAAAGTCCATTGTCTCAGTGCTGTATTATGAGTATTTGGGAAAATTCAACTGAGTACAGCTCTGGCTCAGGGGCCAGAGGTTCCTTAGGAAAAGAGCCCAAAGGAGTGAAGTCTTAACTTCTTTGAACCTCAGTGTCTTCTGTAAAGTGGCAATAACAGTCTACCTCTGCCTACTTCACACGTTAGTTTAAGTGCCTGGCCAATGGTAAGCACTTAGAAAAAATTTGTTGAATGAATGAATGCATGGACTATGCCAGGCAGCAGTGGCAAACTGCAGGGGTCTGCCCTGAGCAACAAAGCTATGCAAACTTGCTGCCCATGAGGCCTGATGCAATGGAGGCCCACCTAAGGCAGTGGATGAGTGGATAAGCTGAGTAGACAGGCTCGGTGGTGTGCTGGTTAGCACTTTGCATTTGGTTAATGGGCACTCATCCTGTCTTGATGAAAGTGTAAGTGTATTAGTACAGCTTTTTAAAGGAAATTCACATAATACTAGCCATCACTATTTTAAAAGAGCACACAAATTGACTACTAGAGTTCCATTTATAGGAATTCATCCACCAGGTATCCTGATGTGACAAGATTTATATAGATAGTGCATTCATTACAACTCTTTGTAATAGTAAAAAATTGGAAACTCCCGTTCCTCAGTACGGGAGTAAATAAGTTGTGGTACATCTATATTATGGACTTCATAGGTATTAAAAAGAATGAAGTAAAGCTATATGTATTAACACGGAGAAGTCTCAAGATGTATGGTAAAGCAAACAGAAAAATTCAAGTTGACAGAGCTAAGCATTTAATATAATAACATTGGCAGGGAAAAACCGTATCTGGAAGGCTACCCAAAGCTAAGGCGGTCAAGAAAAGAAATAACTTAAATTTAAAATTTTATGTTGATGAAGGAAGGAGCTCCCGTTTAAAGTCCAGAGACTCTATTTATATATTCTGGTCAGTGAAACTGTGACTCAAGGAAACTCTATTCACTTTATTGAGCCAAAGCTTCCTTTTGTGTAAAGTGACAATAATAATTCCTACCTCTCAGTATTGTGATGGGGTTAGATGAAATAACAGATATAAAAAACCCTGTTCAGAGCAGGGACAGATAATTACAGTAATCACGGAGGGTGACCCGAAGGAGGAGGCACTAGTCTACACCTTGAAAAATTCGGCAGAGTCCGGATTTCATTTGAGTCCTGGCTATCTTTTCCTGATATTCAACAGGCATTTATTTATTAAGGGTCGGGTAAAAAAACCGGATGTGGGTTTTTTAACTTCTGCCGTGAAAGGTAAAGCAGACGTCTGGCGCGTGCGCAATAAGAGCCTCTTTGGCAGCGCTCCGCCCACGTACTACAACTCCCTGTAGCCCCGCTCACGCCGCGGGCGTCGCCGACTGCTGTCGTAGCCCTCCGTAGCGCGGGGAATTTCGAGTGGTACTGGAGCGCGGGAGGCCAGTGGGTGGTGGACCCCCCATACTCCTTAGGGGGGATCATGGACTCCCTAGTCGAGCCTCGGTGGCCTCCGGCCCTGGCAGTCATGAAGGTGAGTGATCCGGGGAGGTTGGGGGCTCCGGAGTGTCAGCGGGAAGCCAGCTCCGCCTTGAAGAGGAGAAAGGACGAGGCGCGAACGGCGAGCTGGGCCGTGGTACCCGGCCCTGCTCTGTCATTTGCCATCTGCGTGTTGTTCTGGGTCTCAGTTTCCTACCTGAGAAGGGATGGGGACAAGCCTGGGTCCCTTATGGTGAGCTGAGGTTAGCTGTCTTATGGAACTGGGTATTCTGCAGTTCAGTCACAACAGTAACAATGACTTCGAGAAAAGCGGTTACTCTAAACAGTGAAAACGACAGTGACAGCCCTTTCTGAGGACTTACTACGTGCCAGGCATTTAGTAAACTCTTGCGTTACATTAGTTGAGAATTTCTCAAAGTGACATCGAACATGATTTTAGGTGAACCTGCATCAGAAAACTAATCACCTAGCGAAGCAGGTAGTCTCCTTTCCATTCTCTTTTATTTCTTCTAATTACCCTCAAAAAGCCTAGTGCTGCTTTGCCCTAACAACTTCCTAATGTGTCCTAACTCCTAACAGTTGTGCATGTCTCTCTTTTAAACAGAGAGATCAGGACTCAGGCTCAGCACTAGCCTTTCATGGCATTGAATTATTTCACTTAAATAACATTGATTTTGTGGCTACTTGGTTTTTGGCAAGTCATTCTAGTTTCCATTTACGTAGTGGTGATTTCAGGATTCCTGCCATATTTGATCAAGAGCAAATGTGCTAGCTAAGAATCAGTTTCTTGGTTTTTCTCCTTGCACTGGGATCATTTTTGTTTTGTGGGCAAGATCACTTTTCTCATTCTATTCCTCAATTTTGTAAACTTGAAGATTATTGTATCTGTGCCACTGACTCATAAGGCTGACTCTGAGGATTAAGTGAAGGGACTTAGGAGAGGTTAAAGTAGATAAGAGGCTTCCTGTCATCTTCCGTGTTATGAACAGTTCTTGGGGACTTGAGATATAGCCCCGTGGTGAAATGCTGATGTTGTGGAAGAATCTAGGAAAACTGGATTTGAAGTTGTGGTGGTCTTGGCACCAAGATGCAGTGGAGTAGAGCATAGATTTGAGTTCTGATGGTCCTGAGTTAAGTCTGGCCTCTACCTCTTATTTAACTGTGTGACTTTGAGTCAGTTACTTTACCTCTCTGCGCCTTAATTTCCCCGGCTATAAACTGGAGACAAAAATAGTTTATAGGTTGGTTAAATGAATTATAATGTGTGTGGATAGGGATCCTGTCTGGCATATTAACTGTGTATAATAACGTATGGCAGGTAGTGGGTGCTCAAAAATTATTTGCTAATTTATTGACGGTACCTGGAGGATAGTAAACATTAAATTAATTTATCATTAGCACATATGTTAACTCTTTCAATCCCCTTTTTATTTGTTGTGAAGATTGAATTGGATAAAGGAGGTGAAGTTCTGTAACTTATAAAGCTACCCGTTTATAGATTTAAGCATATTTTATATATTCTCACAACTTCCACAGTGTTCTCTACAGGCAGGTTCCATGTCTTCTCTGGCTTTGATATTTCACCACAGCAGTGAACTGAGGGTTCGGCACCGGACTGTTCAATGATGGAGTTGATTGAGCCCATAGTAGAACCAAGAAATCTTTTCTTTCTTTCTTTCTTTTTTTTTTTAAATTTATTTATTTAAATTAGTTTCAAGTATACAATACATTGGTTAGACATCTACATAGTTCATAAAACAATCTCCCCCAATTGCTCCCTCCCTCCCCTGGCCTTCCACCTAGCTGTGCTCCCCATCCCCTTGACCAACTATCAACTACTAATTTGTACTTCTTTAACCTTCACCCCATTTTCCCAGCAAACTAACCCTCCCTCCCCTCTGTCCGTCACCAAATTGTCCACTATATTTGTGAGTCTGTTTTTGATTAGTTCTTTTTGTTCCTTAGATACTGCATATAAATGAAATTATATATGGTATATATCTTACTCTCTCTGACTTATTTCACTCAGCGTAATAACCTCTAGGTCCATCCATGTCATTGCAAATGATAGGATTTCATTTTTTTAATGGCTGAGTAATATTCCATTGCTTATATGAACCATAATTTCTTTATCCAATTGTCTGTTGATGGGCATTTAAGTTACTTACATATCTTGGCTGTTGTAAATTGTGCTGCCATGAATATTGGAGTGCATAGATCTTTACGAATTATTGTTTTGGTTTTCTTTGGATAGATACCCAAAAGTGCATTTGCTGGGTCAAAAGGTATATCCATTTTTAATTTTTTGAGAAACCTCCATACTGCTTTCTATAGCGGCTGTACCAATTTGCAATCCCACCAACAATGTATGAGGGATCCTCATACATTTACTCTGCATCCTCGCCAACACTTGTAGTTTTTTGATTTATTGATGATAGCCATTCTGACAGGTGTGAAGTGATATCTCATTGTGGTTTTAATTTGCATTATTCTGATGGTTAGCGACCTTGAGTATCTTTTCATATGTCTATTAGCCATCTGTATTTCCTCTTTGGAGAAGTACCTCTTCAGGTCTTCTGCCCATTTTTAATTGGTTGGTTGTTTTTTTTTTGGTTGTCGGGTTTAATAAGTTCTTTATGTATTTTGGATATTAACCCTTTATCAGATGTATCATTAGCGAAGATCTTCTCCCAAACAGTTGGTTGTCATTTTGTTTTATTGGTGGTTTCCTTTGCTGTACAAAAACTTTTTAGTTTGATGTAGTCCTATTTATTTTTTCTTTCATGTCCCTTGCCCGAGGAGATATATCTGAAAAGAAATCCCTGTTGGTAATATCAGAGAGTTTACTGCCTATGTTTTCTTCTAGAAGTTTTATGGTTTCGGGTCTTACATTTAAGTCTTTAATCCACTTTGAGTCTATTCTTGTATATGATATAAGAAGGTGGTCCAGCTTCTTTTTTTTGCATGTATCTGTCCAATTTTCCCAGCACCATTTATTGAAGAGACTGTCTTTACCCCATTGTATATTCTTACCTCCTTTGTCATATATTAAGTGAGCATATAGGTGTGGATTTATTTCTGGGCTCTCTATTCTGTTCCATTGATCAGTATATCTGATTTTATGCCAGTACCATGCTGTTTTGATTACTGTAGCTTTGTAGTATAGTTTGATATCAGATAGTGTGATACCTCCAACTTTGTTCTTCTTTCTCAAGATCGCCATGGCTGTTCGGGTTTTCTTATGGCTCCATATAAGTTATAGGATTATTTGTTCTAGCTCTCTGAAAAATGGATTGTATTGAATCTATAGATTGCTTTGGGTAGTATGGCTATTTTAACAATGTTGAAGAATCATGAAATCTTAAAGTTGGAAAGCCAGCCCCTCTCCAGTATGTTAATCTCATTTATAATGTATCTGCCAGTTTCTCATCTAGCTATTGCTTGAACTCCTCCAGGAACAAAGAATTAGCTGCTCCTAGAATTAGCTCTGTTTGAAGTTCTTTTTTTTTTTTTATGTTGAATATAAATGATTCCACATCCATGGTTCCTAACATAGAATCCATGGAAAGACTTTGGTATCTGGATTATTTATAAAATTTTTGTCTGTGTATATGCTTTTCCGAAAAGAGAGTCCATAGTTTTAATCCATTTTTCAAAAAACTTAAAAATCTTTACTCTAATTTTTGTCTATTTACCCATTCCCTACTTTCCCTTTCCACTTTCTTTCTCTAAGAAATCCTGGGGCATCCACTTGACCACTCTCTATTTGGGTTGAGGCACATGTGATGTGCATGTTACTCTCCTGAAATGTCATAACTGGAAATTTGTACAAGTATGTTATAGTTCATCTGATGTGATGTCACCTTCCACATATCTTGCTCAGCAGATCTGTCAGGACCACTGTTCCTCCAGAAGAGGATGGTTATATGCAAGAAAGTACAATAGACTATAGATGTACAATAGAAGTACAGTAGATGCCAGGGCTCTGTCTTCCAGTCCTGCCACTGCTCTTAACTGATTTTCAACAGTCTTCTAGCTTTTTGTGTCAATGGTAGCTTACCATCCAAAATAATGAAAGATGTTGGCATTTTAATGTTTATTTCCCTAGTTTAGCCATAACAAAAATTTCTGTTTTTGATAGGTTATAAATGTATGTATATGTAGTAGAAAAAAATTAAAATTCAGGGTAAGAAAAAGGAATAAATGAAAGTTACCCATCATACCATCTAGAGATAAACACTGTTTAATGTTTTCTCTTATTTTTCTTCAGTTTTTCTTGTGTGTGCTCATGCATACACAAACCCACAATGTATATATGCATTTAAAGTTTGGGATCACTTTGGAGTCAACTTCTTGAGTTTGACCCAACTCCTTTTAAGCTCTTTAGTCTTTACCTGTAAACTGGGATACACACAGATGCTATAGACTTCATAAGATAGTTATAGAGATTAAGCTACATAGTTCTTTTATTATGTATTATTTTCTTATGGCGTTAATTATTCTTTGAAAGTATGTTTTAATGGCTACATAATATTCATCATATGGACTATTAGTGACATTTATCTTTTGTTTGTATTTTAAACATAGAATACATTGTTATTCTCCCCTCTCTTTTAAACAAAAGTTAGCATACCATATGTACTGTTTTTTTTCACTTATCTTGGCAATCTTTCCATGTCAGTGCATAAGAGAGCTCCTTCTTTTTTTTTCCTTATATACCTGCTCAGCATTCTATTAAATGGAATAACATTTTATTTTAAATGAGTTAAAAGATTTTGGGTTGCAAGAATAGATCCTTTACTGTTTAGTTTGCATTTCAGGTTGACACACATCTATCTCACTTTCCAGATTGTCCACTTTTTCATCTCCCTCTGCTGTCACTGGTTCCCGCTCTTTCCAGGGCTTCCTCCTTTGGCTTCACCAGGTAGAAAGCACTGGGCTGACTGCCAGTAGGGAGATAGGAAGTTTAGTCCTGGACTGACTCATGCCCTATATGTGTGCCAGCTCTGGATACAAGTTTCCTTACGTGTGAAACAAGTTTTAACTAGATTACTTCTAATGTTTGGGTTTAATGTCCTCTGATTTGTTCTTGTGTGGTGACTGGCTGGCTACTGGTACCTTTCACCCAACAGTGACTGTAGGCCAGGGAAAAGGGTCTGTAGAGAGGGTGGCTTGTAGTAAGAGCTAAAAACACGTGGGAAATGGAGCAGGAATACAGTCGTCCTTTTGTAAAGGGTTGACAATATTGCATAGGAATCTGTTCAGTGTCATTTTTATCTGTCTAATACATTTTGGGAAACTGGAGATTTGAATGTGTAAGAGTCATAGGGGAGTGGAGGGTTCTCTGTTTGTCAAGATCCCCTGCAGTTTATGTGGAGTTTGCTATTGAGTTTGTATGTTTGACAAAAAGTATTATTAAATTATTTTTTAAGGAATGGAGAAAGAGTTCTGTGACAGACATTCCAATCTTGATGTCTTTCTGATACGTATGTATGTGTATTTTCATTTCAGACAGTAGATGATTTGTTGCGGTGTGGAATTTGCTTTGAATATTTCAACATTGCAATGATGATTCCTCAGTGTTCACATAACTGTAAGTATGTACTGTTTCTGTGAATTAGTAAAAATGTGATTTTTATAAAAGATAGTGTTAATTTAACATCAAAGATAAGTACACATATTTATTTCTCACTTTTAACTACTCTCTATGTTGAAGTTTTCAGGTCTTTTCCACTATCTTCCTCTTGAATATTGAAGTTTTTACAAGGCCTCCTATATTTTCAACCACTTCTCTTAGATATTTTTATGCCTTTTATAACATTTATAGCAATAAAGATTTTGGTTACAATATATGGTTCTTTATTTGCCAAGCACTTTTAGATGTTAAATTTCAGAATTTTTGTTTTTAGCTGTATAGCAGGTAAGTGGTTCAACCAAGCAGTTCTTTATATAGGGTTTCAAAGTTTAAAAATCCCAGTGGGAGAATTCTACCACTGAAGAGTATTACAGACAGTTTTATCACTTAACTTTTTGTGTAATTCTGGAAAGACTCATGTTGAAATTGGCTTGTACTTCTCTATTTGAGTCTATATGTAAGTAATTTTTGTACTTGAGGTATTTAACACATAGGGGTGAGCCTGTCATTGTTCAGAAACTGGCTATGCGGATTATGGATTATCTTGGTTCATGATCTTTCTGTCCTCTATTTTTTTAAAAAAGAAAACCCAGCAAATTAGGCTTAAAAATGGTTTTTGTGGATAGTAGGTAGCTTTGGTGAAAAGTATCTATAGAGAAGGCATAATACGAGGATGGCGGTGATCGCAACATAGGCATTAGAGATATGCTTAGGCTCGACTCTTAACTCCCCACTTACTAGGTAGATGAGTTTCCAAATGCCCAACATTTCTTCACCTGGTGAGTAATTTCTACCTTAGAAGATGGTTGTGAGAATTAAATGTGCAGAGCCCAGTGTCTGGTATGTCATAGGATCTTAATAAATTTTAGTTTCTTATCTAGGCCAGATTCATATTAATAACCAAGGTAAGTTTTAGGGATTGTTTCTAAATATGTGTTAAAAACATCTTTATTTGGGTATAATTTACACATAATAAAATATATCTATTTTAGGAACATAGTAAGGTGTTTGATTTCAGATCTTTAAACAGACCGATGGGCTTTTTGGCTCTCTTCCTTGCACTGTGGTCAAGAAATTACCTGCAGGCAAAAAGTTTGGGCTCTGATAGAACTCCTATCATTTCTGCCATTGTCCAAAGTTTGAAAATAGCTGTTTCTTAGGTTCTCCCAGTGTTTTAGTTGTTTATGGACGGAGGGTAATTTTGGACCCTGTTACTTTCTCATGGACAGAGATGGAAGTCCCATCTATAGATTCAATTATGTCATTTGAGGGAAGAAAGACTTTATATTTTATGAATTCAATGAACTCTACTTAGCTGAAAAATTAGCCTTTTATTCCTTTTTCTTTTTTTGTCACTGATGTCATTCTTTAAGAGGAAATTGGTGGAGGGTACTTTCAATAATGTTAATTTATTTTATGAGCACTTATTTTTCATGTCGTACTTCCCATGATTTGGTAGGCCTTTTCTCCTTAAAACCAGTTGTCACAGGTTTGCTCAAGACAAAACATTGCTCTCGGTCTTGTAGTAGTGTTTTAATGACACAAAAGCCTCCCAGAGCTTAGTAGAAGCTAGTTATGCTATCATGTTCTGCTGTCATCCAGATTTACCAGAATTGGTGACTCCAGAATCCTAGCCAATTGTTGCTGCTCCTTAAACCTTTCAGGATTTATCATTTTAAATCACTTTATTCTTTTTTGCACTTTTTAGTTTTTGGATATAGGTAGTGAACACTACATTTGCATTTCTGTTATTAAGATTTGAGTGGAGTGCATTGGCAGACACAGGTCAATTAAACTGGTCCAAATTTATGCTATTAAAGACTACTTTTGGGGGGAGAGGGAATGGACTTACTCCAGTCCATAAAACACCATTAAGTGAAAAGTATTCTCACCAATAGACTGTTATTTCTCAAGTGCTAATTTTCTTTGCACTTGCAGTTTTTCTGACTTGGTAATGGAAGCCATGCTCAGAATATTTCCTCCTAAATGAAATCATTGGCATGTAGATACTGTTAAATTACCCCTGTTTTAAAGAGGGACCAGCAATTATTTTTCTTTTCCTTTTGTGGATTTCGACTCACAAAATTGGTTTGAGGCTTGTGTTGGAATAAAAAGCAACTTAATTTCATTTTTTTAAAATGAAATATGAAATGTTCCATTTACTGACCTTTGCTAAATTAAGAGGCAATATAAGATTCTTTTGGGCAAATAATGTGTTTTTCTTCTTTTATATTCTCTTGAGGCAGCACTGTGAAACAAGACAGGGAAGAGAGATAGCTATACATACAGCAGAGACATATAATTAAGCAGAACTGCACATATGGAAATTCTGGAATGCTGATTGTTAGTTGGAGGGATATTGTGTTACAAGCTAACCGATCACTTAACACTAAAAGTGGAGGCAGAGGACAGCCTTCTCAGCTACCCAGGACCGTCCTGTCCTATTCCTTTCAAACTCAGAACTGGATTTTCTGATAAATCGTTTTCTGATAAAATCCTTAAGATCGTGTAAAATAGAGTGGTTTAAGTTTTAGAGATTTGATTTTACTGTTAGGTTGTTAGGCTATTTTGATATTTGAAAGCCAGCAGGTGGCGGTATCCTGTTTGAGATTAGAAATGCCTCTTCTCCCAAGGCTTGGATGTTTCTGTGAGGCTATCCTTTGTTATTGTTTTATTCTATCCCCTACCCTGTCCACACTGCTCAGGGTGGAAAAACAAACTTTGCAGGCGATTTAAGTAAAGCCACCTAGGAACACAGGGGATCAAAGCCCTTCAACTGCTTTATCTCTGGTGGAATATCATGGTTGCTCACTAGAGAATAAATTATGTTGGTCTTCAGTTCAGTACATACTAGACTTGTGGACCAATCTACTTTGGACTAGCATCTGGTTCTCCATATTTCAAAATAAAACACAAACGCAATTATGCAGAAGAAAAAACAGTAGCCTCATTATACATTGAAAAAACAGTAGCCTCATTATACTGTGATCCTATTAATTAAATATTACTTATGTAGCTCTATATAATAAATACATTTTGTAAGAAAATTATAAATATGGGCCCTGGTACATGCCTTTGCTACCTGTTAGCTCTGTGATCTTGGGCAAGCTGGCCAAACCTTGTGCTGCATTTTCTTCCTTGTAAAATAGGACTAATATTAGTACTAATCTCAGTGGTGCCGATCAGTGGTAAAGATCAAAAGAGTGAATACATGTAATGTGCTTAAAACAGAGCACACAGCGAGTACACAGTGTTATGTTAAACCATAAGAAATTGCCAATATTTGTCCTCCTTTGACTTCCCCAAAATAACTTTCATGTGGTTCAACCTAATAGCAAAATCATAGTAATTTTTAAAAGATAATAATTGTTGTTCAGTCAGAATCACATGGATGCGATTTACCGACCAAAATCCAGTGAATCAGTATGACTGCGGTTAGGGCCTAGGAAACTAAATTAAAGTCAATGATAATGTCCCCAGGTGACCCAGATGAACAGCCAGGTTTAGGAATTCTTGAGTTACATTATTGCACAGGAGCCTTCTTATAGTGTGAAGTGAATAACAATAGTTAAGAGCATGAGTCTGGAGAGGAATTTTGCCTCAGAATGAATCATACTCCACATCTCATCCATATCTGATTTAGGTGCTATAGGTGAGACTTTAAACTTTAGATGTTAGAGTTGGTGCTGGAATGAGTTAAGACTTTTGGGACTGATGAGATGGGATGAATGTATTTTGCATGTGAGAAAGACATGGAATTTTGAGGGCAAGTGGTGGAATGCTATGGTCTGAATTCTGTCCCCCTCTAGATTCATGTTTTGAAGTCCTAATCCCCAAAGTGATGCTATTTGGAGATGGGGCCTTTGGGAGATAATTAGGTTTAGATAAGATCATGAGAGTGGGGTCCTCATGGTGAGATTAGTGCCCTTATAAGAAGAAACCAGAGAGCTTGTTCTCTTTTCCCTGCCATGTGAGGATACAGTGAGTAGGCAGCCATCTATAAGCCAGAAAAATAATTCCCATCAGAAATTGACTATAGTGGCACCTTGACCTTGGACTTCTATCCTCCATAACTGTGAGACAATAAAATTCTGTTATTTAAACAATTAGTCTTTAGTATTTTGTTATGGCAGCCTGAGTTGACTAAGACACCTACCTAATTTCTCTTTCCAGTCCTTTGAATCATTGTCGTCGTTCATTTCTCATACATAAGCATACATAAGCATATACATGTACATAAGCATAAATACTTTGTTGCTGTAATTATTTTTGAACAGTTACCTACCTGTTCAACTAAAAATAAGGAAAATAAAAGGTTTTATTTTACCTTCACTTATTCCTTCTTCATTGCTATCTTTATCTAGCTCAAGTTTCTGATCTATATCATTTTCCTTCTCTCTGAAGAACTTCTTAACATTCTTGCAAAGCAGGTCCACTGGAAGCAAACACCTTCAAATTTTTGTTTGTCTGAGAAAGTCTTTATTTCTCTTTTACTTTTGCAAGATACTTTCTCAAGATATGGAATTCTAGGCTGGTGTTTTTTTCCTCTCAACACTAAATATTTCGCTTCATTTTTCTCTTGCTTGCATGGTTTCTGACAAGTTAGATTTAATTCTTATCTTTGCTTCTCTGTAGCTAAGGTGTTTTTTTCCCCACAGGTTTCTTTCAAAAAATTTTTCTTTATCTTTGGTTTTCTGTAGTTTAAATACGATATACCAAGCCATAGGAATTTTTTGAATTTATTCTGCTTTGTGTTCTCTGGGTCTCCTTCATCTGTGGTTTGGTGCCTGACATTAATTTGGGGGAAATTCTGTCATTATTGCTTTAAATAGTTTTTTGTTTCTTCTTTTGATATTGCCATTGTACATATGTTATACCTTTTGTAGTTGTCTCACAGTTTTTGGATACTCTTCTTTTTTTTTTTTTTTTGTCTTTTTTCTTTATTTTTACTTTTCAGTTTAGAAGTTTCTGTACAGATATCCTCAAACGCAGAGATTTTTTTCTCAGCTGCGTCCAGTGTACTAATGAGCCCATCAAAGGCGATCTTTATTTCTGGTACAGCATTTTTAATCTCTAGCTCTTTTTTGAGTCTTTCTTAAGATTTACATTTTTCTGCTTATGTTACCTGTCTGTTCTTGCATTGTTATCTACTTTGTCCATTAGAGCCCTTAGCATATTAATCATGGTGGTTTTAAATTCCGAGTCCGATAATTCCAACATCCCTGCCATGTTCGATTCTGATTCTGATGCTTGCTTGCAGTTTCTTCAAACTGTGTATTTTGCCTTTTGGTATGCCTTACATTTTTTCCTAATTGCAGGATATGATATACTAGGTAACTAGTCCTTTAGTAATGTGGTGAGGTGTGGGAGGAAAAGTGTTCTATAGTCCTATGATTAGGTCTCAGCCTTTTAGTTAGCCTGTAACCTTGAACTGTGCATTTCACAAGTGCTTCTCAGTCCCTGCCTACTCCACCCTTCTACCTTAAGTGGACAGGATGCCTAGAGGTAGCTGAAGTTGATTATTCCCTTTCCCCCAGGTTAGCTGGGCTCTGATAAAACCCCAATAGGATATAGGCTCTGGCAATATTTTTTCTCTCGAGGGTGTATTTCAAAATAATTACCGTCCACCTTCCCTGCCGCTCCCTGGCTGCAAGGACTGGGGGATTTTTCTCTGATAGTCACTTTAAGAACATAGTAGAACTCTTAGAGTTAAAACTTACCTAAGTGTGTGTCCCCGCTCCCTCCTGCCCCAATGTCTAGGTCAGCAATGGAGATTTTATCTCAGACTAGTCCACAATGAGCCTCCAGCAATTTGTCAACTACAGTCCAGGTTTTCCTACCCCAGCTCTGGTTCTAGCAGTTTCTTCTCTGGTTTCCATGGAAGTTTCTGTTAATGGGTTTCTATTCTGATAAGTGTTGATTCTCTGTATCTAGCTTGTCTGTCTCTCCTTTTAGGGCCAGCAGTTTGCCCTGTGACCTCACTTCTCTGAGAGATCTAAGAAAAGTTGTTGATTTTTCTGTCTTTTCAGCTTTTTTCATGTTGTTAGATTATATCTAAGCTCCTTACAAGCCAAAATGGAAACCAGAAATTTCCTTTTATTCATCTTTGTTTCCCAAAGAAGTTAACTTTTCCTGTTTTGTGTATTTTATAACTTGTTCTTTCATTTTCCCTCCTGTGTGCTCTTACTGAAGCTGGCACAACTTGTTCATTTACTGGATATCTTTACTTGAAATCATTCTGTTCCTCCTCCTCAACTAAACTGAATCCATTTTTAAATGAGGCTCTTTCACTAAGCTGAATTTGGATTAACAGCAAATTATCTACCAGTAAGGTACCATTCTATTAGTCACATCTATTTTTTCCTTTGATAGGTCATTTTACACTGCCTTGGGTTTGAAGAATTTAGTTAAAGCCGATTTCCTGTGTAAATCGTTAGGACTTATTATGCTGTAATTGCTTCTTGAGGTCAAGAACCTTCCACTATATATTGTTCTTTTCTTAGTGCTTGACCCAAAAAATACTGTGAAATGATGGGCATCATTTACAGAGTTAGGATGTAGAAATTTCTAATTCGATAACCAGAGTGTATATTATTTCTTAACATGTGTATATATCTTATTTCAAAATTTATATTTTTAGAATTTAGTCAGTAGAAGTATCTGACATGTTTATACAGTATCTATCCCAGGTCTTACATGTATATATTTCCTACTTTTTACAGATGGAGGATATAAAGAGTGGTATACATTGCTTATGGAGTTGTGACATCCTAGGGACTCATGATTATTATTATTTGATATTTCTCCTAAAAATGCTATTTAACTACATTTGCAAATATGCATAGGTAGAGTAGAGATACTAGAACTTCAAGATTATAATGATATACATTAGATGATAGAAATATTCAATGGCTTAAGTCAGATTTTGTTAGAAGTCAGATTCCTGCATTATTAATATAGCTTAACTAATTTATTATGTTGCATTTATATTTTTGCAGACTGTTCTCTCTGTATAAGAAAATTTTTGTCCTATAAAACACAGTGTCCAACTTGTTGTGTGGTGAGTTTTTCTTTCCTTTTTTGGTTTTAAAAAACTTATTTATTGGTGCAAATATTTCTGCTTTATGTGTACACAAAAGCCCAAGGGAAGATATGTAATTATTGAATTAAGCTATATAAAAAAACATTTTCAGAAAGGAACTCTAAAATACATATGTGGAGAATTGGGCTTTGTTCAATATTTCATGGAGATTTCTGATAATCTAAATGTATTTTATAAGGTAAAAACTAATGTTAAGATCAGGAGGTAGCACTCTTAAAATCTTATGATCCAGGTTTTTGTGGCTCGCCATTTTTTATAATTTTTCAGGTTGGATAGAAAATCTGATGGTAGGATTATTCATTTGCAAATGACTAAGTATTTGTGCAAAAGGCAGAGGTTCATGGCCATTGGACCGAACCTTGCCTAACTGGTCTCTTACCTCTTTTTCAGAACAGACCTTCAGGGACAACACTAGGAATTTGTTGTTATGAAGCTTTTCAAGTAGTGGAAATAGATGAAAATGTAGATTAAAAGGGAAAGTAAACATAAGTAGGAGTAAAAGACAAAAAGGAGACAGTAAGGCCTAGCAAAAGGACACTCAGACTAGTTAAAGGGCTTGGGTTCCACTTTGATGCCTCTGGTAGGTACATAGTATCAGGATGTCATTGAACTTCTCTGTACTAGTATGTAAAAACCCTTCGTAAGAAAATGATAGTTTCTTTCTTGAATCTAAGCTCTTTACAATTTAAGCACACTTTGTCAAGATGGTATCATCATGGAGATAAACTCTTAAATAACTACTGGATTTATCATTTTACTCTTGCATTCCTGAAAACCAGTCTTGTTTTTCAGCTGTCTTTGAACACCTAATGTCTTTTCCAGTGTCATATTCCAATGTTGAAAGAGCGTCTCTGTTTTGTTTTTCAGGAGAAAGTTTTAGGAAAGCAGAGTGCTGGCTTTTGAAGGATTCTTTCTTACATTAGGCTTGATCTTAGTACAGAGTATATGTAATTTTACCAGATGCTTTGGAGAGCTTTTATCAGACTTCTAGTCAGCTGATACTGATTCACTATTTTTAAATTCCATATTAGTATGAGATAAATTAACTTTATTTTAAGGCTTTCCTGGAAGATTTAGTGGGATGGGGAGTCTCAGGAGGATGGTCATATATTTTCAAAAACAAGGTTATGACAAGTAAATTATTGTTTCTAACCTTTCCCATCTGTTGTTTTTCTTTTCTAGACAGTCACAGAACCGGACCTGAAAAATAACCGTGTATTAGATGATCTGGTAAAAAGCTTGAATTTTGCACGGTATGATTTAATATTGTGACTAACCCCTAACTACTTTTACCTTTTATATGTGTCCCCTCTTTGCTCTGTGCCCTTTTGGGGATTAGGGACTGCAGGGTTGCATATTTAGGGTAAAGCAAGGAAGTGACAGTAGTCATTAATCACATATTGACAGTCTAATGGTAATAGGATTTTCTTCCTTAACAGAAATTCTGTTATGAAAAAGAAGAGTTAAAATGCAAATTTGAGTACTTACTTACTTTTGGGTACTACAGAAATACTCTCAGCTTCATTTGTTATTTTTCCTGTCGCAGCCCTACAGTCAGCTATTTTCCCAAGGAGCCCTGGTTCCTTTTATTGGAGAATGGTATATAGAAATCAGGATCTGGAGCTGACTATGCTCATTGTCACTAAGGTGTCATTGCTTCTAGGCCCTCTCAGTAGACAAGGCTGGGTAACGTGTGTGTACATATGTGTATACACATGTCCATAATTGCTTGTTACATATTGTGTGTTACATATTAATCCATTAATTCTTATTCTGACTTACTCAGCATGCATAAAATGATATGCCATGTGAAATATGTAATTGGCACTTTATAAAGCTCAGAAATGTAGTTTTACTTCTTAACTGTCAAATGCATGATGATGAAAATGAATTTGGTCACCTAAACGAATATAAAAAGGCATGTTTTGCCAAACAGTATCTTGAATTATTTTCAGTTTTAATCATGCAAGTCAAGCAAGAATTTTTATTAGGAATATACTGTATTAAGTTAATAGTTAGATGCCTACCTACTTAAGTGTTTGACTTCCAGGCTTGTTGGGGCATTCTTGGAGGTACATTGCATTGCTTCTAAAAATGTAAAGAGATTTCTTTCAGTGGAATTGCACATTATTCATTGGTTTGCATTCTAAAAATCATCAAATTTAGTACTCTGAACTTACCTAATACGACATTCTAGCAACTGGCCGGTTAGTTATTTCCCTAAGCAAAGTCGTAAAAAGGTGGTATGTTTTCCTAGACTAAGAAACAGATTCTCTGATTCTCAAAGTTATTGCTTTTTTTTATTTTAAAGTTTGTCACTAGTTAGATCTTGAAGTCTATGGGAAAAGATGGAGCCATGTCTTTAGAAAGGAATTTTTTGGCTGTTTGATTTTCTCTGAGAGTAAAATTATATGTCAAGGCTTATTTTTTTCTTCAGCTATAACTGAAAGCATAACAGCCTCCCTGCTAGGAAAAAGGGAGCGTTACAAAAGAACATCTGTTTGTTAAAGGGAAGTGATCAGTATCTTTGGGTTCACAGATCTTTTGGTAACTTAAGGGGAGGCCTTGGAGAGATTGAACTCTTCCCCCTTCCTCTCAAAAGGAATAGGCTATTTAATTATTCATTATAGTGAGTGTGGTGGGGTGGATTTTATCATTTGCTTCTCCTTGTGTTTGCCTTCTTAGAATTGCTGTTCTTCACGAAATTGCCTTATGGTGAACATTTCTTGAACGTTTGTCATATCTAAACTACTGTCGTTTCTCATTTGCAAAATTAGGAATGAAATTCAAGCTAATCAGTTTCATTGCTCACTTAAAATCTAGTTTAAGATTGATGAGCGTGGAAGTTTAATTTTATGACAAAATGTAAGATGTTTGTATAGTTTATTGATTTCGTTTCTCCCTGTCTTTCCATTGCCATTTTATGACACGGTTAAAAAAATTAATATTCTAAATGGAATAACAAAAGGGTATTGAAAATCTAGAGGTTTTCAGGCATAGGCTGACAGGTAGATCTTACATTTTCTTCTAACTTTGCCTTTTATTTAAAAAATAAATATTTTTATTTTTTATTTAAAAAATGGACTCAGTTTTATTTAAAATAATGTTCTTAAGAAACTTGCATTGAACAGAATTTAATGAGTATGTTTGTCTTAGTGGAACATCATTCTTGACTTAAGTAAGAAAATATTGTTTCTAAATTTTTGCATAGCAGCTAGTCTACATCTATATCATTATTTTTATGAATTGAGAGTATGGAGCATCCTTTACTGCTTTGTTTATTTACCATGGAGGTATGAATTTTTCTCCATGTACTTACTCCGTGTTTAAGAATTTAAACATTTTAGATGATAATTATAATAGATAATTCTCTTAGTATTTCACAAGAGTACATAGATTATAATTTCACCTTTTTTTTTTTAGACGAGGCAACCCTTGGTTGACCTCACAGATTTCAAGGACCTTGTCAGCTTACACAACCCTTTATTTTTTATTTTTTGCCTACAGCACCTAGTCTTCCTAGGTGGTCTCCTATCCAAGTACTAACCAGGCCCAACCCTGCTTAGCTTCCGAGATCAGACAGGATCAGGCTTGTTCAGGGTAGCATGGCTGTAGACTAATTTCACCTTTTCTTATGGTATAGTTTAAAGAATACTGGCTTCAGATTCAGGCAGAATTGGGTTCTGATGTGAGTGTAGTCAAGATATTAAACCTCTGTGGCCTGTGTTCCACATCTGAAAAATGGGAGTGATATTGTTGATATTTAAAGGGATTGTTAAGGATTAGAAACGAAGAGTTGTACTAAAAGGTAACCCAGCATAGTACCTGGAACCAAAGGAACCTAAAAAAAGGATCCCTCTTATATTATATTATTATCTAAATATTTTACCTATATTTATATTATGCTGCCCTGTTATATGTTGATGCCCTATGGAGCTAATAAGAATTTGTGCTTTGGTGGGCCCCTGCCTGTTCAACCAAATGGTCCAAGATTGCTGTTTGCATGTTTCAGAACAGCGCAAGCATTTGTAGGGAGTTTTACTAATTACTGAAGTCCATGGACTTGATTGCATGGATTGTAGGACTGCCCCTGTCTATTCAGAGACCTGTTTGACTCTTGCTTCTTAGCTGCATTCTGAAGAGGTAAGGTTATTGTAAAGTTAACAAGTGGGCAAGATTTTCCTATACTTTATTGAGTCACAATATTTTGAAAATCTATAGTTTATCCAAAAAAATATATGAGTGTTTGTAATGGGTACTGTTAGGCATTGTAATACCAACTCAGTTTAATATAAATTCATAGGAGTCATGGGAATTACAGGGAAAATTACCAATTCAGTTTACCTCTAAGTATCAGTTTGGGAATTAATATTTTTACACAGCTGATTTTTAATGTACATGAATTGCCGTAAACAGTCTCTTGGTTTTAAATACCACTTGTACATGCATGGCTTTCAAATTTATATCTTCAGCTAGATCTCTTCTTAAAACCTCAACCTCATATATCCACCTGCTTATCTCACATCTTTACTTGGACCTCTTAAAAGCAGCTCTCTTGCTTAACATGGCCAAAACTAAACTCCTCATTCCCTATGCTGCCCCCAAACCCCCTCAAAATCTGCTGCTCCGAGTTTTACTCATTTCAGTAAATAGCAGCTCTATCCTTTCAGTTGCCCAGGCCAAAAACCTTGGAGTCGTCCTTGACTCCTCTAACACTTAATCTGTCATTTCATCAGTAAATCCTGTTGGTATTCAGCGTCTAATTTTAGCCTTTCTGATTAGTATATATCAGTGAGATTTTTGAAATTATGTTTATATTTATTTTTACTAGTCCTTGATTTTTGAAATTATGTTTATATTTATTTTTACTAGTCTTTGATTCTTTTAAACTGTGGTAAAATTATATATAGTGAAATACATACAGGAAGTTTGAATTTTGACCATCGAATTTTGATAAATGCATACATCTGTGTAATTATGATTACAGCCAGGGTGGAGAACGTTTCTAGAACCATACCTCCCTTTTTCTGCTTCTAGTCAATCCCTACGCCAATAGACGTTCACCATTCAGGTTTCTGTCCTCACAGATAGTTCTTAAACTTCATATAAATGGAGTTATACAGTATATATTTATTCTTTCCTTTCCTTGACATACTGTTGCTTTTATTTGTCTATGTTGTTGCTTATATCACTATTCATGCTTTTTTATTGCCAAAGGTGTCCATTGTGTGAATATACACGATTTCATTATCTATTCATCTATTGATGGATTTGGATTGTTTCAAGTTTATGGCCAGTATGATAATAGCTGCTGTGAACATTTGTGTACAATCTTTGTGTAGGCATCTATTTTCATTTCTTTTGGGTATATATCTAGGAATGAAATTGTTAGTTTATAGGATATATGTATAATTGAACTTTATAAGATATTTGCAAACAGTTTTCCAGTTAGGTTGGACCATACCCACCAGGAATGTATTAGAGTTTCAGTTGCTCCACATCTTTTTTAATATTTGGTACGTTAGTCCTTTTAGTTGTAAGCATTCTGTTGGGTGTGGAATGGTGACTCATTGTGGTTTTAATTTGCATTTCCTGATGCTTGTTGCCTGATGCATTTCTTATGCTTGTTGATTCTTCTTATATTTGTGGTAAAGTCTTTGTTCTATTTCTTATCCAGTGTGTAAAAATTGTATTGTTTGTCTTTTCCTTACTGATTTGTAGTTCTTTATGTATTTTGATTAAATATATGTATTTTATTTTTTTCCCTGTCTGTGGCTTGCCTTTTTGTTTTATAAAAGATGTCTTTTGATGAATAAATGTTTTCGTTTTGGTGAAGTCTAGTTTATCTCTCTCTCTTCTTAAATGATTACTGTTTTTTTATCCCCCCTCACCTTAGAAATCTTTACTTACCTCAGTTCATAAAGATTGTTTCATGTTTTCTTCTAGAATTGTTATAGTTTTAGATTTTATATTTCTGTCTACCAATCTATTCAAGTTAGTTTTTGTGTATGATAGAGATAACGGTCAAGATTCATTTTTTTCTAGACAGATTCACTTGTTAAGTTTATTCTCAGGTATTTAATATTTTTGATAGTATTTCAAATGGTATTTAAAAATTCATTTTCTGTTTGCTGGTAAATAGCTGCAGCATTAATTTTTGTTTATTGACATATCCAGTGACCTTGTAAAAATTCACTTATTCTAGATGCTTGTAGATTTTTTTGTTTGGATTTTCCTTGGAAGTAATCACGTTATCTGCAAATAAAAAGCTTTCTTTCTTTCCAACATTTGTACCTTTTATATCTCTTTACCTTACCACAAAAGCTAGGACCTCCAGTACAATTTGAAGAGAAGTGATGGTAGTAGATATCCTTGTCTTGTGTTCAATCTTAGGAGGAGATATTCAGTGTTTCATTGGTGACTATGATCTTAGCTATTAGGTGACTATGATATTAGGCTTTGAAGGTGTCTTTTATCAGATTAAGGAAGTTTCCTTCTATTACTGATTTTCTGGGTGTTTTTATAATTTCTGGGTGTTGAATTTTATCAAATGCTTTTTTTGCATGTATTGAGATGATTATATAGTTTTTCTCCTGGTTTTTTTTTTTTTTTGGCTAATATGGTGGATTACATTGATTTTTCAAATAGCAAAATAACTTTTCATTCCAGGAATAAATATCATTTGGTAATGGTGCATTATATTTTTTAATTTGTCTCTCGATTTTATTTGTTATTATTTTATTAAGAATTTTTCTATTTTAGTTATGAGATATTGGACTAGAATTTTTTTTCAGTAACATGCTTGTCAGATTTTGTTATCATAGTTATGCTGGCTTTAGTATGAGTTGGGAAACATTCCTCTTTTTCTATTTTCTGGATGTGTTTGTGTAACATTGTTATTACGTCTTTCTTAAATATTTGGTGGAGTTTGCCAGCAAAACTATCTGTCTTTTTGGAAGGTTTTTAATTACAGCTCAATTTCTTTAATAATACTACTCTTCAGGTTTTCTGTTTCTTTCTTTGTTGGTGTTGATGAGTAGTGTTTTTCAAGGAGTTTATCTATTTTGTCTAAAATTTCAAATTTATTGGTATAAAGTATTCATAATTTCTTTTTATTATCTTTTATTTTCTGTAAGATTTGTAATGATGTCTTCTTTTAATTCTTTGTTTTTGTAATTTGTATTTTCACTCATTTTTTTTTCAGTCTTGGTAGAGTTTACTAATTTTTTTGAATTTTTTTCAGAGAACCAGCTTTTTGCTATGTACATTTTCTTTTTTATGCCTATTTTCTATTTCACTAATGTCTGTTCTTATTTATTTACTTATTTGGGTATAATTAATTTGCTGTTCATTTCTTAACCTTATAAGTTGAAAGCTTAGAATGTTGATTTTCAGTTTTTCTATTAAGTTATAATTTGGTCTCTAGGATTGTTTTAGCAAACGCTCATGCTATCATTCAACTCAGAATATTTTCCAATCTTCATTGTTATTTGACCTGTGGGGTTATTTAGAAGTGTGATATGATGCTTAATTTTTTAACATTTGGAGATAGTCTAGTTACTTTTCTGTTACTGAGTTTAATGTGAATTCACAATGGTCAGAAAAGATACATTGAATTATTTCAGTCAATGAAAGTTTGATGAGGCTTGCTTTATGGCCCAGAACATGGTCTATGTTGGTAAATGTGCCATGTATACTCGAAAAGAATGTGTATTCTACATTTGTTAGATGTAATCTTTTTATTTGTTAATTATGTCAGTTTAATTAATTGAGTTAGTTCAGATCTTCTATGTCCTTACTGATTTTTGTCTATTCTGCTAGAGAGATGTGTTTATATTTATATGCACCATTATTTACACCAAATATTGTGGATTGGCTATTTTAGTTTTATCCGTTTTTGCCTTATATATTTTGAAGCCGTGTTATTAAGTGAATATAATTTATGATTTTTATGGCTTCTAAGTAAATTAGTCATTTTGCCAAAATGAGATGTCCTTCTTTTTCTCTCATAGTACATTTTGCCTTAAAATCTATTTTGTCTGCTGTTAATGTTGCCCCATTAGCTTTCTTTTGGTTAGTGTTTGCATGGTACATCTTTTCCCATTGTTTTATTTTCAACCTTCCTAGGTCTTTGTATTTAAAGTATTTTCTTTTAAACAGTATATCGTTGTATCTTATTTTTCAATAATCCCGTTTGACAGGTGTTGTAGTTTCTTCTAAGCTTTCTACAATGCACAGAACAGTTTCTTACAAAAAATGATCAGACTTAAAGTGTCAGTAGTGCCAAGATTGAGAAACCATGTCTTAGAGGTAGTAAGACATGGTCGTTCATAAGATTTTCTCGTTAATTTTGATTTTTCAGCAGTTTGATTAAGATATGACTAGGTTACATTTGCTTTGCTTTATCCTTCTTGGGATGGTTTTTAATTCCCTCTTTTACTACACTATCTTTTTATCGATTTGTCTGGATTTTCATCTTTTTTCTTTAACATTCATCATAGTTATCTTCTAATGCCACTCTTTGGATCACCTCTGGATCTGCTTTCATTGACTATTTTATCTCTTGATTAGTGGCTACTTTTTCTTCTTTGCATGTCTAGTAATTTTTAATTATGCATTGAACATTATGAAAAATATTATAGGGGCTGTGAATTATCTTTTCTTTGAACGATGTTGAATTTTGTTCTGATGATAGACAGTTTTGTTCTGATGATTACCAGCTCTTCATTTTTATTCTGTCTTGGCCTGGTTTAATGTTTTATTAGGTTTGATTTTTTCAGTTTTGTTTATATTTCTAGAGTATGATTCTTCTTCCAAAAGTGTGGCCTTTGTGAGGTTACAGCTGAATATCTAGGGTCTTCGCCAAGGTTTCTCAGCTTTGGCTGGGCTCAAACTCCCAGCATTTTTTTTGCACTCATCTTTGGAATCTCAGCTTCCCAGGAATCTGCCTCCTACCAGGTCTCCTATTTTTGTTTTATGCTTGTACAGTCCTGGAGATGATCAGGAATTGACGAGATTTTCTAAGCAGACTTCTGGGGTTTCCTTTTTGTGGCTACCCGCTGTCCAGCATCTTGTCCTTCCAATCGTAGCCACCTTTGCCTAGACTCTGATCTCTTTTCCCTCTGCCAGCTGAGATCACTGGTCTCTGTTTTGACTTCAGTTCAATACCCAACTCCCTGAAAATTCTTTTAGGGGAAATTCTTGGGAGAATATTGGATCACTTCATGTTTCTCTTCTCTCTCAGGGATCGCTGCCTTGTGTTAATTATAACCCATGCCTACAAACAGTTGTTGGATATATTTTGTCCAGATTTTAAAGTTATTTATGATTGGAGAGTAAATCTCATCCCACCTGTTCTCTATCACCAGAATCTGAAGTTTCTCCATTTTCTTCTATAAACAAATTAACTGCTTTTTAAAGTCAGATATATTGCTTTGTATTTTATTCTAGAAGAAACACTTTGGTTTGGTTGTCAGTATGGAATAAGTTCTGTATTTCATAGAATTAAGCGTTAATTGAGTAATAAACAGCTTGTGTCAGTTAACTTGATATTATACATAACTTGATATCTTACTTGTCTGTTATGTGTTTTGTTCTTCAAGGAATCATTTGTTGCAGTTTGCCTTAGAGTCATCACCCACTTCTCCTGCTTCATCCTCTTCAAAGAACCTTGCTGCCAAAGTACACAGTCCTGTAGCCTTCAGACATTCTTTAAAGCAAGGAAGCAAGTTAATGGAGAATTTCTTGATCAGAGAAACTGATGGTTCTACATCACAGTTTTTGCTAAAAGAGAGTGAAAGCAAATTCAGCCCTCGAAAAGAGGTCAGCACTTCTGTAAAGACCAAAGAGACACCTTCTGTATTAAAGACAGCTCCAGGCATCGCCAATGCTAAGGTTCCTGAGGCACCCTCTACATCAACTTTGAAACAAGTTGCTAAAGGTAGGAGAGTATTTTCACATGTGTATTTCCTTACTTAATGGTTATCCTCTCATCCCACATGACATCAGGATAAATAAGCAGTATCTATGAGAGGGGAGGGCTTTAGGAAAGGGTAAACCAGATTTTACCTTATAGCAGTCTCAGAGATTGATGTAGGCAGTGCTTCTAGATATGTTTGTTCTCTCACATAGAATGGGAATTCAGGCTGATTGCTGCAAAAATGAAGTAATTTTAAATAGTTTATATTTTGAGTATGACAGTAGCTTTCTATTTTTCAGCTTTTAATTTCCCCCCTCATCCTTCATATTAGTTCTAGTTTAATCTTAAAGAGCTCTTTGTGTCTTATTGTACTATTTGAAAACTTCCAAGCTGTTCTGACTGACATTTACATCCTAAGACAATTTGACCCCTACCCTAGCTGTCCAAACTTATTTCTCACCTCTCCTTCTCAAAAGTCCTTCTGCTCTAGCCAAGCTGATCTTCCCACTATGCCTTCAACACACCCAGGGATTGGAAACCTACAACTTGCAGGCCAAGTTTGGCTTGTCCCCTATTTTTGAAAATAAGGGTTCCCTGGAACATTACATGTTGTCATGGCTGCTTTAATACCACATAGCAGAGTTGAATAATTATGATAGAGATTATCTGGCCCACAAAGCCTAAAACCTTTACTACCTAGCCCTTTTCTTACAATATTTGATGACCTGTGTTCTGCCTTTTAAACTATCCAGATTCTAACCACTCTTTGGTTATGTTAGGTAATGTTGGTAGCTCACATCATTAAAATGGTACAACATTTGTTTTCTGGACTATTTGTGTGCAATGTGTTTAACTTTTTGATAAGTAGGTCAGATCGTTTAACTTTTTGTTTCATGTCTTTTTCTGCCGGTGAAGTTCAGAGCACCTTTTAGGCAGAAACTGTGTCTTAGATATCGTTGGTATACTCATACCACACACAGTACAAGACTATTAATAGTTATTAAATTTAGATAGAAATAAGTTTATTAGTATTCAAGTGTTTAAATTTCATAAGGATGTGTAGAGTTTACTTGCATTTCCTACTATACCTTATCTTTGGTCAATCTATTAATTCACAGTTCTTATTGTAGTGTTTTTAGCTTGATAGTTAAAATTTTTCCCTTAACAGAACCATTTTTCAAATGAAATCTTACAATGAACATATAAAAGAGATAAAATAGGCCCTGCTGCATTAGAAACGGTGGGCCTGGGGATTGTGTTGCTCTACCATTCTGTTCCTGCTTATTATCCATGGTGGCCTCTAGGCCCCAAGATATCTCCATAGATCCCTGCAATTACATGAAACAGTTTGAGAATGATTGAGTTTCCTAATTTTAACACTACATTTATAATTATAAACAAGAGCTAAATTAACAAATTTGTAATTATTGAAAAATTGAGCTTTAACCGGCCCAAATTAATAAACGCTTTGATCTAGCTACACCACTACCACCTCCTCCACCCTGCTCCCAGCCGAGTAGGCCTTACTCAGGTTGTTATGATCGCTTTCGCACTAAACATGGGTGGGTGGCTCCTAAGACTTGGGAAAACCTAAGATTAGCTTTATAGTTTAGTCACATGTTGGTGGAAAAAGACTTTACTAAAGCTTTTTCTAATAAACAAATTTCAAGACTTCTTTGCAATCTCTTCCTCTAGGCCCAGAATTTGAATTATGTGACTTCCTACAATTTAGTCATTGTCCAGTAACCAATTTGTCCTACTCATGGTGCCCTCAAGTGTCATCATTTTTCTCTTCTGCTTTCCTAAGTGCATGTTAAGTTTGGGATTCTATTTTTTACCTTAATTTCTGAAAGATGCCATGTTACATTATTTTTGCCCATTCTACAAACAATAAAATCTCTCTTTTTTAAAAAAAATACAGTGGACTGTCCTGTTTGCGGGGTTAATATTCCAGAAAATCACATTAATACGCACTTAGACAACTGTTTATCACGTGAAGAGAAGAAGGAAAGCCTCAGAAGGTAAGAAAGTTAAGCATAACCATTGAGCTACTTTAGTTAGGTGCCTCTTGTGCTTGATAAACTTGAGGCAAAAAAATATATTCCTTTTATCTTAGTGATCAGTTGTCAGAATCCCTCTCCCACTTGCTCATTCCTTAAATCTTGATAATCAACTCTTCCATTCCCTCTCCTTGTTCTTTCCTCACCTCCCACTTTGCCAAATATAATTAACTGTATTGAATTTAACTACTAATAAAGTTTGACTTAACAAAAAATTAGTGATTTAGGATTCTTTTTTAACTTGTTTTCTTCTTTTAGAATTTTAGAGCTATGATAAAGACCCTTGGCCAAAGAATGTAAGGTTAGGCTGAGTATAGAACATATCACATCTTTCTTTGGTTCTTAGGATGCTCAGACATTTAAGATAAAGTTTTTACAAATTTTAAGTCAAGCTTTTCAAAAAAAATTTTTTCCGAATAGGCAATTACATACATATGACATTAAAAGGTACCAAAGGATACGTATGAAATGGAATGGCCTCCGCCCACAGCCCTCAACCACCCAGGTGACAGAACTAAGTCGTCAACTCAGTGTTTGCTCCTAGACTTCTATTTTGCATCCCGTATACATCAAAGTTATTTATTACAGTGGCCATTATTGTTATACATATAAGTTGTTTAGGAATGAAATTTTTGTCAAAGTTAAATTGCAGAGTGTTAAGGAATCTGTGGTTAATGAAGATAATAAAGAAGCAGAAGCCCCAAATTAGAGGAGTCTGGTGATGAAGGAAAGAAGAGAGATGAGATGGTAGTTTGGGGAAGAAGTAAGCATCAAAATCAAGGAAGATTTTATTTTTTAAAACAAATTGTTTAAGCCTTCCATCTTTCTCCTTCTACTGTCTCCAGGGAGAGAGCAAATAATAGATGGAACAAGGTTGGGAGTGTAAGAGATGAAGAGTCCAGTAATGAAGTTATCCTTGACGTGTAGAAGGAACCCTTCTTCTGAAGCAGAAGGGGAGAGGGAGAGAACAGGTGATAATCAGAGAGATTTCACAAAGGAGAGGAGAGAAACTGGTATCTGGAAAGTGGAGATGCATAGAATGGTTGGCTCTTATGTTTGGTCTGTTTTGAAGGATTTCAAAGAGTATTTTCTAAAAACCATGATAATAAGGCAGGGCCTTTTATTATTATTATTATTTTTGTGATTAAAGATAAAATGGTGTCACTTAATTTTTATGAATAAATTTGGAGTGAATTCAGGTTTTGAGAGACAGAATTGTGCTGTTATAACTTACAAAAGCTAACATGTAAAGAACAATGATGCTTTATTAATTTACAGTGGGGAGTATTGACAGTTCTTATCATAGTACTTTTAGCTTGAGAGTTAACATTTTTCTTCTAGCAAACCTTTTTTTTTTTCAAGTGAAATTGTATAGTGAAGCATAACATATAAAATAGATAAAATTGGCTCTGTTGCATGAAAGTAGAGATGGAGGACCTGGGGATAATGCTGCTCTGCCTGACTTCCCTACTCCCTCTTTGTCCCTGCCTATTATCCATAGGGCCTTTAGGCCCCAAGATGCCTCCACAGATCCCTGCAACAGATCCCTGTGGAGTCTTGTGTGTACAGCACTCTCTTCTAGTGGGAAAATTTGTTGATGAGAATAAAATTTAGATTTTTTTAGGTTGCTTAGTTGAATTTTGGAATAAATGAAACTAGATCATCCTGAGGATTATTTTCCATAAGCCATGAGAATCTGATGACCTGCATTTCTCTTTAGAAATGTTTCTTTCTAAAGGAAAAGTTGGGTATATAGAAGCTGAGCATTTTCTCCTTGAAGAGTAAGGAATCAGCACTGATACCTTGCGTGGACTGCTCTTTTTCTAGATGCATTCATTATATTTCTTCTGACACATTTAATTCTATCAATTACTCTAGAGATATACTCCTTCATGTATAATTAAGTTCAAGTTCCAGTAGTGGTTCCAAATCATACTCCATGGAATGCTATAGTCCTGTCAGCTATACAAATTAATGTATTGAAAACTTGGCTCTGAGAAGTCCTACATTAAAGATAATTGTTGGATTTTCTTTAATTCATTGATCCCTAAATTTGACTCCAAAATCTTTTGTCCTCATAACTCGCATTTTATAAAACTAGTGTTTGTGAAGATAACATTTAGGGAAACATTGAACTATATTTCTCTATAAAGAAGTTATATCCTGTTTCTGGGGTCTGGTCACCTAAAAGAGTCTCTGACATTTACAAAAATTTTCGTCACAGCACCTTAATAGGCTATTTCCTCTATATGGATGACAACCCTTAACCCATTATATATAGATTCATATCAGAGTTGATTCACAGAATACTCTCCCTTTTGATATCTTCAGATTTTGAAGACCTTAATGGTATTACTCAGTTTCACTAAATCATGGAAGAAAGATCAATGTAATTTTCATGTTTTGGGAAACATTTATCAGGCTTTTATATTTTAAAATTTTTGATAGAAATTACTGATTTCTGCTGGTGCTTTTCATTGTAAATGCAGTGACCAGTACAGTTTTCCATTAGAACTTCATAGTCATCTGTCCTTGATAAAATAAACGTTTTAGACATACAAACTTAATGAATTGTTCCTTGCAATATGCTTGTATAAACTCCTACAAAATGTTTTAGCTCTGGCTACCTACTGTGATTTCATTTAGCCATAACCTTCTCAGTCTTGCTGAGTTCAATGTCATTATAAGAGGAGCAATTTTCAGAAAAATGTAATCTATTGAGGGTTTGCAGGTCTTTCTGTAGTTAAATAGTTATCTCTGGCCTTTAGACTTTATTAATAGAGCATAAAAGAAAAAATTTAGCCATGGAATGGCATTAGTGGTTAATAGAGAAATGTCTGGTTTTTTCCCCAGCCTGTATTCAGCTGTACTATTTCTCTCAGTATGGTCTTTACCATTTTCATCAGATTTACCCTGTTAATATAGATTTTAGGTCTCCACTTCAGAACAGAATCAGAGGTAGGGGATGGTGTGGAGAAGTGACTGAGAATCTGCATTTTAAATAAGTTCTCCAGGAGATTCTGAAGTATACTAAAGTCTGAGTAGCCTGGCCTTTTGTGAACAGTTATATGGAAGTCTTTTATAAAATGTTGCTTTTTGGATAAGCCTATTGCTTTCAAATTCTTATTAATTTTTACCTGAACCTTTGATATTTTCATTTTAGAATTATTATAATTGTAAAGAATACCTTGAATAATTACTTATTAAGCACCCAATTGCCATAGCATTGAGTCAGGTGATACACTCAGTAAAGAGTTTCTGTTATAAATTGTCTCAAGTCATTGATACCCTTAGGTATCTGACTTTTCTTCCATTTTAACAAATAATGTTTATTAACTGGTATTTTGGAAGGAGTAGAAGAAAGTCATTTAATAGGACTTTGTTTACTTATAATTATAGCTTAGTGTTTATCAGTATATTAATTATATAAATAGATTGAAGAGCCAGGTGGTGATTTTGCTAATACATTTCTTTTAATGTCGTATATATTTGTTAATATAATTAATTAAAATTGAAGAGAACAAAATACTGTTGAGTTTTTTGGTATTGTCTTCAATTGTATTCTTTGAAGGTGATGCCACAAGAATACCATGTACCTGTCAACCTTCTGAATTCTTTTTTCATTGATGGTAATGAGTTTGGTAAAGCTAATCATCCTAACAGGTCTTTTATTTCATCTAGTGCTTTTGCAGAATGATTACCTTGGGTTTGAGGAGGCAGTTTTGCCCGTGGATCAACTTTTTCTAGAGAAGCTATATATGATAATATTAAGTCTATAGCTTAACACTCAGTAGCATTTGTTTTCTAACCATCTGAGATAACTGGTTTTGACAGAGATTTTGCATGGAAACCATGGGCAAATTTTAGAAAAAGCATGCTTTAAAGAGGTGGAGAATTGAATTACAATAGACCATGAAAGTGCTCCATAAAAAATTTACATAAGTGTGATTCTAAGTGAAGTTCTCATAGTATTTAGTCCACAAACCTTCTGTGTGAGTTCTAAGTCTGCTTCTTTAGGCCTGACCACTTTCTGAGACCTCAGTTTCTCTTAAGTTTTGGCTTCCACCGAGATACCTCTAATGCCCCACTGGTACCTCACATGCATCATGTTGAACACTGTCAGCTTTATCTGTCAGTTTCATTCTTTTCTTTCCCATTTTTATATTAATGGTTCTGTTCTCCCAGTCATCCTGGTATTGAGTCAGAAGGTAAATTACTGTTTTACATGAAAAGCATTTGCTAATTCACAATAACCCTCAATGATCCCTTTTCCTTTTCAGTTCTGTTCACAAAAGGAAACCGCTGCCCAAAACTGTCTATAACTTGCTCTCAGATCGCGATTTAAAGAAAAAGCTAAAACAATATGGATTATCTATTCAAGGAAATAAACAACAGCTCATTAAAAGGCACCAAGAATTTGTACACATGTACAATGCCCAGTGTGATGCTTTGCATCCTAAATCAGGTAAAGTAATAAAACAATGAGTTATGCTTGTTATCTGGATAAAGCAGTTTTGTTTAACTCAGGGATTATAAACCATAGAAAAAAAAATTTTAAATAAATACATTTTGATAATAGGTAAGATGTGCAAATGTATTCATTCAAAAGATACCTTGAGTCTACTATGATAAGCCAGCCTTTCTCTCAGCCAATCTCTTAGTCCCCATTCCCTTCTTAGAAGCAGTCACAGCTGCCAGTTTCTTATATGTCTTTCCAGACTTAGTGTGGGACGAAGAGTTGACCTAGAGCCTGGTTTATAATCCCAATTCTGCAGCTGTATTATTGGGTGACTTTGGGCAAATTCCTTATTATCTCAGTTTTCTCATCCATAAAATAAGGGTTATAATATTACCTACTTTATAGTGTTTTTGAGAGGAATAAATGATAAAATGCATGTAAAGTGCCTAGTACAATACTTGAGCAAGTAGCTGAGCTTTCAATAAATGTTACCAGTATGATTTTTATACACATAGTCCTTTATCATTGTTTTTATAAAATTATTAGTATTATATAGTTGTATGCTGCATAATGACTGTCAGTCAACAACAGATTGCAGATAGGACGGTGGTCCTGTAAGATTATAATGGAGGTGAAAAGTTCCCATTATCTAGTGATGTCCTACTCATCATTGTAAAATTATAGTAGAACATGCTACACATATACTTACTATCATGTTAGTTACAGTTGCCTAGAGTATTTAGTACAGTAACATGCTGTACAGACTTGTAGCCTAGGGTCAATAGACTGTATATACCATATAGGTGTACAGTAGGCTATATCATTTAGGTTTGTATAAGTGCACTCTATCATGTTCGCACAAGGACAAAATTGCCTAATGACACATTTCTCAAAATGTATCCCTGTAGTTAAGCAGCGCATGACTACACACTAATAATTTGTCCTTTACATTTAACCACACGCGTATTTTGGTGTTCCTTCAATTATTAGTATATATAGAATTGCCTAATTTTTTGAAAATTTAAGTATAATATGCAAACAAAAGTATACAAATTATAAGCATATTGTTTGGTAAATTATCACAAAGTAAATTTCACAGAGAGGCTATGCCTTTGTAAGCACTATTCAGAGCACTGCCAGCATCCTAGAAGCCCCTGTCCTCCCCACTCCCAATCACTACTGCCTTCATTCTCACAGGTGACTTGTAACACTGTGTATTCATTTGCCTATATTTGATCTTTATGTAAATGGAATAATAAATAACTTTTGAGTCTGGCTTTATTTGTGCAATGTTATGTTTATGATTCATCCATATTTTTGTGTACAATTGTGATTTTTTTTTTTTCATTTTTGTTGCTATAAGAATATTCTAATGTATAAATATATTTCGCTGTCCATTCAGTGGTTGATGGATATCTGGATTTTTTCACTCTGTGGCTCTTAAGAATTATGCTGCTGTGAATAGTCTTTTGCATGTCTCTTTGTGCATATAGGCACACTTTATTTTTGGATATTATATACCTAGGAGTGTAATTGTTATGTTATATATTTGCACATGTTCACCTTTCATTGATATAGCCAAAAACTCAGTACCATTGTATACTCTTATTAGAGTTACAGTTTGTCCACATCCTTGACAGTGTTAGTATAGTCAGTTTTCCATTTTGACTATTTTAGTGGATCTGTATTAGTATTTAATAATGGTTTTAATTTGCATTTTCCTAATGACTTAAAATTTTCAGCACATTTTTATATGCTATTGGCCCTTGGGATATCCTCTTTGGTGAAATACACGTTTCAGTTTTATGCCAAATTTTTCTTTGCTGTGGATCTATTCTTATTTATTTGTGGGAGTACATAAAATTTTCTGAATACAAATCTTGTATTTTTGTGGATGTATATATATTTAATCTCTTCTTTCATTTTAACTTTTCACTCTTAATGGCTTTATTTGAGAAGTTATGAATTTTAATATAATCCAATCTGTTGCATTTTTCCTTTTGGTTAGTGCTTTTTATGTTCTTTTTATGTCCTTGTCTACCACAAGATCATGAGGATCTTCTCTAGTTTTCTTCTAAAAGTTTTATCATTTTTACTTATACATTTTGAACTACAATTTATCTGGAATTGATTTTAGCATATGGGCGAGATGCTTTTGTTTTGTCTATATGGATAACCAACCGATGCAGCACTATTTATTGAAAAACCATTCTTTCCTCACTGAATTGTCAGTATGTCTTGATTGAGAATCAGCTAATTGTATATGTGTAGGTCTGGACATTATTATGTTCATTCGGTCATTTATCAGTAGTGTACTGTCTTATTTACTTCATAAGTAATTTATAATAGATCCTGCTGTCTGGTAATGGAGTTCCTCCAGCTTTGTTGTTTATTGAGATTGCTTTTGTTTTTCTAGGTCCTTTGCATTTACATATAAATTTTGGAATAAGCTTACAAATTTCCAACAAGTAACAAAAACCTGCTTGAATTATGATTTGAGTCTATAGATCAGTTTGGGGAAAGTTGGTATCTATTCAGTATTTGAATTTTTCCATCCATGAATTTAGTTTATTCCTTTATTTTTAATTTCTGTCAGTAATGTTTTATAGTTTTCAGTATGAAGGTTTTATATTTTTAAGTACTTATTCATAGGTATTTAATGTTTTTAGTACAATTTAAGTGGTGTCTTATTTATTTATGGGTGTGTATGGTATGTGATTTTATTTTGTTTATTTTTATTTATTTATTTTAATTAGTTTCAAGTATACAGCACATCGGTTAGACATTTATATAGTTTATGAAACGATCCCCCTAATTGCTTCTTCTCTCTTCTGGTTTTCCCCCCAGCCAATATATT